AGGCAATTATCCTTGGTTGATATACGGATAAAACGGTTTCTCAGATATATCAACTAATTTAGAGAATAGGGTCAAAAATATATGTTCAGAGTAAATGCGATACTCGTTTATTAACAATAATATAAGGAATAAATTCACTAGCGAACGTGAACTATAACACACATAACACACCGACTCTAGCTGAAACTCCTGCTGCTTATATATCTTTTGAGCGGTCTGATTGAGCTATTTTTAGCAGCTACTTCTAATATTCTATTGATAACTGAACTGTATACATCTGAATAATTCGAAGCATTTCCGTTAGTGAAATTTCACTAACCGTACTACCAGTGTCGAAATGTTCGTTACACTGTTAGTGAAATTTCACTAACCGTATTACCTAACGTTAATTGTTCCTCCGACAGTGTCCGTACTACCCATACTGAAATCCGCAGCTGCGTTAGTGTTACCGCCAATTGATGTGGACTGCAGCACCGCTGGAGAAGCGCAGAAATAAGGAGAGAATACGTCATCGATTGCGGCGCATCACAGTAATCAAAGTTGCCTGCTTGTTCAATACGACCAACAGTATATTTTCCTTCGATAAACAAGTTGGAATTGTCCACAAAAACATATACAGTTCCAGTGTTTGATTTTGGAGTGTTTGCTATATGGAGAAAAATTTAGTAACAGCTTATATAATTGAGAATGCAAACAAAAACTTAAGTACACTTACATTTTTTTAGATCCGCGATGAATTTTGCAAGTCTTGTTGCTGATCCTCTTTTCAAACCATAACTTTGAAACTTCTCTTTTGTTGTCTCAAGAAAGTCGAGACCAGTAATTTCCTCTTTATGCAATATTTCAAAATGTGACTCCATGAGTTTTAAATCCTACTTTGCAAATATTCGATTAGCTCCTCGGTTCCATATTTTTTAACTATGTTTGCCATCTCGTGAATGGGCTCTTCATCAGAGGAAACACTTGAGGGTGAGAACAAAAATCTATTACTGTGCCTAGATTTATAATCAAAGAACTATGCCAGAAGTTTTGTGACTTCTGTATTACATCTCTGGCCAGTTAAAATCTTTTTATCTTTGATTTCCCAAAACAAAACCTCACTGGCTAAATCAGGAATTGCTTGAGAGGACAATAAATAGATCAGTCAAAAATATTGGTGTTTCCTGATAAAGGCTCCCTGCTCTAATAAGGGAATTACTTAGGGGGTAAACAATTTTCTGATAGACTTATAGTAAAAATGAATTGTAAACATACCCTAAATCAGGAATCACTTGGGAGGACAATAAATAGATCAATGGTTTACAGTCAAAAAAATATTGCCAGTGAGCTATGCACAGGTTTCGTTTCAGGAAATTGAAATGTACACAAAGATAAAGAGATTTTAACTGGCCAGAGTTGTAATACAGAAGGCATGCTCCTGCAACAAAACCTCCAGCCTACTGGGGTGCTGTCTCACAGCCTGTCAGATGATTGAAAACAGTCAAGCAAACACAATCTCCTTACTTCCATCTCTCCATACTCTTCGCAACATCCTCCATCCACAATTGCACAACAATCCTGCCTTACTCATTATCATACTTCCCTCAATTGGTCTGAGAGAAATCTCCCATACAGACCACTACCAAACAGCTTCTGACCCCCTTTGGCTTGCCACCTGGCAACAGCTGTCTATTACAACAGGGAGTACTCTTGTGAACGCGATAGGCTATATCTGAGGGTTCTTCTCAGTATCGCTTCATGGTTGGGCACTGTGTGGTTAATGATTA